TACATCCTGTGTTGGTGACAGTGAGCACAGAGTGTTGCATGGCTGGGTGCTTCAGCAGCACTGTAGGGCGTTGTGGTCAGTAGGTCTTCTTCTTGGGGTTAGCCTCTTGTGCAACCCCTCACTGAAGCCTATTTGGGGTTATGTATTTTTTCACAGCTGTGTGTGCTTTATGAACTGGATGAACACCTCTCCACCTTCAGAATCCTCTCACAAAATCATTGAAATGCTTGGTTTCCAAGCAGCCCTGACGGACATCCCCATGCTGAGAGAGAGGACTGTGCAAAGGACTGGGCTGAGTTTGCCACGCTTATGGGCATGAGGCACTGTTTTTAGATTGCTGCTGGGATTTGTTGGTTTGTTTCATGGCTTTAGACTGCAAAAGCTGGTGACAGAAGTGGCCCATCAGTTTCACAGTGTTCCTCCTTTCTCTGAAATAAATAAGGAGATGCACAAAAAGCTGTTTTGCCAGCTGAAATTTTCCATGCCTCATCTCATGGCAGCCTGTTTTGGAAAATCTGAGCAAAATCTGTTCATCCGTTTGTAAGTTTTGGAAAGGTTGGAGGGAGGAGGGAAACTTTTATGTCAATTGTAAGAAAAAAAATACAACTTTTCTTAATTCCCACTTCCTGGAAGGGCGTGTGCCTGCGTACTTGGAAATACCAGCTTCCATTCATGTTGGAAATTAGTACTGACGTTTTGATGTTGATTTTCTCGGTTGCTCTTCACGGTGAACATACCCAACTGAGGTCTCAGAGGCTCTGGGTTGACTTAGCATGGAAGCACTCCACCTTGTTGGCTGTGATTGGTGATTTTACAGGGCTGTGACTAGGAAATATGCAGTTTAATGCCTCTCCCTACATTGGCCAAGCTGTTGGCTGAGGTATGGCCATAGTTTTCTGTATGTATTTTGAACATGAGCTTGGTGCAGTGTGAGTACATCAGCTTGGCTTGTGCAGGATCTCAAGCTTCAGGGCTTCCAAGTTAGGGAATTTTGTATTTTCCTTTGTGTTTGCTTTGTTGTTGCAGAAGAAAGCAAGCTGCACTTATACTTGAATAGGAGAAACAGCAGGAATTTAGGTAGGTGCACGGTGATTAGAAGCAGTATTGAAATGCAAAATTTGGGAAGAGCAACTGAAGGCCATGCCATCATGGATCGCCCCAGCTGCCCTGGGTATGGACACACACAGGTGTGAGCCCCAGCCAGCCACAAACCACCCACATGTGTTAAGTCCTTGCAGTTTTAACTGTCCTCAAATATGAGGCAGATGGGAGTATTTTTGTACCAGGTTCAGTGCTGTTGATCTCAAATGTTCACAAATGTAGAACCAAGCTCCAGGGAATATTGAGAGTAGCTTGAAATAATGCAATTCGTTAGTGGTTTTGTTTGCACAGTGTTGGCATCACGGCAGTCCCTCTGGTTGCTGGCTGTTGTTTCAGACCTAAAAGCATTTTGTTAAACAGTGAGCTGGTGTAAATCCTGAAGCTGGGGCTCTCTGAACCCAAGCAAATGGTGTTTAAATTGCAAAAGGTGGGAAGAGTGTTGATGTTTGATGTGCTGCTGTGTGGGTACACAAAGGAGTACTGTGTTCCCAGAGGAGCTCCCATGCCACCATTGTGTTAGTGGCACATCCCAGTCTAGGAAAGGGTTTGGGCAAGTCATCTGCTGCCAGGAGAGATGTAATGTGCTGGTGCAGAAGGAGGCATCCGAATGGTCCTTGTCTATGGAAGTAGCCAGTGAGAGCAACCAGCAGGGCTCCGCAAGTGGCATTGCTGCTCCCATCTCCCCATAGAAAAGGCAGCAGGAAGCTCACAACCTGGCAGAGGGATCCTTGCTTTTCCTGCAACCGCTGCTGGCTGCGTTGTAACCCTCTCAGCACATCTTAGGCACAGTGGAGGCAGGAAAGAAAACCCTTCTGAAAATCACAACCTAATTACTCCCATCTGCTCCAGCACGGCTTCCCATTTCTGCCTGCCAGGATGCTTGTCTCCAATGCTAAGTAGCACATTATTTTCGATAAGTTGCAATCATTTACTTGAAATCTTCTTCTCCTTTAAACATCCCCCTGGAAAGGCACTGCAGCAAGTTGGGAACAGCTAGCAGAAAAGCCATGGAGGGGCATCCCAGCTTGGGCAGGGGCCCTCTGTTACTCCTTCAAAGCCATCAGCTTGTTTCTTTCTTTAGTTGTCTTGTTTTGCTGTCCGGCTCTTATATCACCACCTGGCTTGGCCTCTGTTGTGTCCCATGTCTTCTTCCTGCAAGCTGTCCCCAAGGCATCCCCATCCCTTCCCTGGGCTTGACCTGGTGCATGAGACCCACTGGCATGTGCTGGGTGCTCTTGGCTGGGGGTCACCACTGGGGACAGCAGGGGAAGGAGAACATGGCTCTGTGACCCCAAGGGGAGCCATGGCATGTGGCTTCAGTGGTCCTCAGCTGCTGGTGATGGTCACCCTGGTGACCAGTGGCCATGGAGGGGCCATGCTCAGCGCATAGCAAGCGAGCTGAGGGATGGTTTGCAGCAGTGCAGATGGGGACAAGGAGTGTGGTTTTGCTTTGATTTTTAGAATATAGATACGTATCTGTTTATGTGTATTTGTGTATGTATAGACATACATACAGAAACGTGGTTTGTGCCAGCGGGTGCCCTCGGTGAGGGCTGAGCACCCTCTAGTGGCATTTGCTGCAGCTCAGGGCTGCCAAGCCTGCAGAAAAGCAGGCAAGGATAGAAGCTCTGCCACGAATTTGCCTCCCCCAGCCCCAGCTCTCGGTCATTATCTTTCCTTTGGCTTCCCCTTCCCCTTTCTTTAACCAGGAGCAGCAAATGGGTGTGCACTGGGGTACTAAGCTGAGGGATGCGGCCTGTCAGGATCTGCATCCGTTCCATGCAGACGTATCGCCCTTCCCATTTGTTTACCCAGCAGCCTAATTCCACATGGCCCCCAGCCCCAGCTGGGTTTTGGGAACACGTATGTGGGCATGCCCACAGCGCACAGCGATCCCAGGGCTCCCGCTCCTGCAGCACGGCGATGGCACGGAGATGTCCTGTGCTTCCCATCACGAAGCAGCTCGCCAAACATAAACTAATTAATCACTTGTGCCTACCTGTCAGGTCAATGATTCCCGAGATTTTTAATCTAAAAATATTTCCCTTTCGAAATCCAGATGCAGCCGTTTCGGCAACTCTCTTTTTTGTTTTCAGGTTTTTTTTTCAATTAGTGTTTTACCTGGCTTGCATTCTATTTGTGTTTGGGCTTTTGATGCGTTACTGTTTAGTGATTCTTTTTTTAATAGGGGAATAGGAATTTATTCTCTTTATTTCATAGCAAGTTCATATGGTGAGTATTATCACTTCTTCACCTTCTAGAAGAGCAGTGATGCCGGCATGAGCTGAGGATTGCAGGACCCATCTGCTTCCTCTTGCTTGGAAATTGGCCTCTGCTCCCCAGTTTGGTGCCATGCCTCCACCCCGCCTTTTGTAAATGATTGTCTCCAGTGTGGAATTGTTTAATATCGGTCTTCTCCAACCTTGATGATTCTGTGATTCTATGATCTTCGGCGTTTTTCAGAGCCAGGAGGAACGCACTCCTTGCTTGGCTCTGTTTCTTATCTACCCTGATTTTACATCTTATTGGCAACTGCCTTCAGATATGCTTTTAAATGCGCTGAAAATCACTTGCTCTTGTTGCTGCTGCTGTGGCCTGGGGTTCAGAAAGGATGGGATGAGCATCCCAGGTACCTCAGGCACCGCTTCCCTAAAGCCCACACAGCATCACCCAGCTCCAGCAATGCAGGCGCTTCCACGTGAGGGATGCTCATGCATTTCCACTGTGTTTTGAGTCCCTGTGACAGATGAGACGGGAAAATACAATTTGCTTCTCTTCTGAGATGTCTTTTTTTTTGTTGGCTTGTCAAGGATGTATTTTATTTTGTGCAGATGCGCACACCTGTTTGTGTACACGTGGAAAGCGAGGGCCATATCTGTGTGTGCAAACAGCCAGCAGGTGGGACCACAGTGAGATTTCCATGTGATGAAACCCCTTGAGTTTTGCTTGGATATGCATTTGTGTCCATGTATGCCTCCTTCCTCCTCAGTCCAGTCTGCAGGCAGAGCAGCAGCTGAGCACCCCACAGTTAATTGGTAGAGGGAAACACTGTGAGAATGACTTTTACTGGGAGCAATAATTGAAGCAGTGAGTACAAAGAGGGGAAAAGAATTCTCTCCTTGGCAAGTCGTTGTGTGCGGATTGATTTATTGATGCCCCTTTTCTTAGCACAGTTTTAGAATTCACTAGAACGACCAGATTCTAAAAAAAGGCATTTTGCAAATGGTACTTCTTATTTCATCCATTTTATTATTATTATTTCCTTGAGTGGATAAAAGCTCCTTGTGCTTTGGCTTCACTCGTATTTAGAGACAGGGAAACTGAGGCATGGCCTGCCCTGCACTCTGTGCTGCCTCCTCCTCCTCCTGGGGCTGAGGATGTCTGGGCAAGCTGAGGTTTGGGCTGGAGCCTTTCCATCCCATGCTTGAATTGAGAAGTGGTCCCTATTACTGATTTCAGCAAGTTTTGGTACACTCAGTGTGGTTTTGGTTGGTGTTGTTGGAACAGAACTGAGAAAGGATGTGGTTTAGTGGGCATGGTGGTCATGGGTCAGTGGTTGGACTAGATATCTTAGAGCTCTTTTGCAACCTTAATGATTCCACGATTCTTTGGTTCTGTGAGAGCATCATGTCGGTACAGATGTGATGGGAAATGCAGGCTGCGAGCGAGCAGCTTTGCTGTGTGTTTGCAGCAAAATGCAGCTTTCTGGGTTACTTCTGCTGGGAGGTTCCTGCTGCTTCTGCCCTATTTCAAGAGGAAAAGGGGCAGAAATGGGAGAAAGAGATCGCGGAAGCCATGGGGAGCTCTCAACTTAGGGCTGTGCCATGTGTGTCACCACGCACCAACTTCTACACCCGCACACCGACGCAACTCATCCTCTTCCCTTTATGTCTCCACAGTTCTGAGCATCCGGGGAGCACAGGAAGAGGAGCCCACAGACCCACAGCTGATGCGGTTAGACAACATGCTGCTGGCCGAGGGCGTCGCGGGCCCCGAGAAAGGAGGGGGTTCTGCTGCTGCCGCCGCCGCTGCTGCCGCATCGGGAGGAGCCGGATCCGACAACTCAGTGGAGCACTCTGACTACAGAGCCAAGCTGTCCCAGATCCGGCAGATCTACCACACGGAGCTGGAGAAGTACGAGCAGGTAACAGGCTCATTCGTGGCATGGGATGGGATGGGTCTGGCCGGCATAGAGCACGGTGCTGCTGCCCACACCAGGCAAACAGCCTGGACCACTACTGACATCTATTGTTAGCAGAGTGCGGGCAGTGCAAAGCTGTTGCTTTCCACAGCAGTGGAAACAGGCCTTCTTAGCGCTCGGACAGTTCTTTCTTGTTTTGTGCTGGGGTGTGCTATGAGAATAGCTCAGCATGTGTTCCCCCCTCAATTTTTTTTCTTCTCTCCTCCCTTTGCATTTGGCTAAAAATTGGCACTGCCGAAGGGGACTCCTCTTGGAGGCGCTGGCCTCATTGCAGGCAGTTTTCCAAGGACCCTTAAGCTTGAATCAGAATCTCTCTTGAGTATTACTTTTGCTTGGAAAGTTAATTTTCCAGAAGGGGAAAAAAAAGGAAAAAAGAAAGAAAACGTGGCTTTTTTCCTGTGGCAAATGATTCTATTTAAAAAAAAAAAAAGAAAAAGAAAAAAAGGACAAACTATTTGGGTCATGAATGCAGCTATTAGTAACACTGACAATTGCATGAGAAGCTTTGCAAGCCAAAGCTCCAAATCGCTTTCTTTCAAATGCTTCCAGATGTTCTGCAGAGCTTCTTTCCTGGCTGTACAACTTGCTCTTGTGATGACTGTGGTTTGTACCCTGAGCATCTCTCCTTTTGGGTGGAGAAGCAGAGCATGGCCTCAGTGTTACAGACACTGTGCCATGGAGCAGGGAGGGCTGGCGTGAGGGTTGCACGGTGTGGGCTGACCTTTGTGGCTGTCCTCAGCCGCTGCTACTGCTGTTGCTCCTGGGCACTGTGGCCGACTCACATGGCTGGGGCACAAGGCATGTCACAGCTCATCCTTCAGGCCTTGGTTGCAGAGGGAGAGGGACCCCACGTCCTCTGGCACCCCACCCCAGGAAGAGCAATGGGAAGAGCAGAGCCCACCCAGTGCCTTGCCTCTGGCTTGCTCCTTCTCACAACCCATTCCAGTGTCATTTTTACCACCAAGATGCTTTGGGAATGAATGCACTGGGCCACGTTTTTACAGCTGCAGGAGGCAGAGCAAGTACCACCATCTGCAGCCCTACAAAACCAGGGGTTGGGATGGCTCTCCTGACCTTTGTCCCCCCTCTTTCTAGCTCTGTCTGGCTTCACACAGTTGTCTGGCTGTCGCTGTGACAGCACAGCACTCTCCTGCAATTTTCCTTTAATGCTCTTATTTCATGCTAAGAGGAGACAAGCTGAAATTGCTCAGCTGTCTGGGAGCAAAGAGTCACTGGGCTCAGAGCTCTCATACTCAGCCCCACAGCCCAGGCAGGTCAGGGTTGTTGGCTGCAGGGTTCATCACCTCCCCATGGGCTGACCCTGGGGGCGATGAGCAGAGGGGGAGAAATTGCTTGGGATGGGAGATAGATAGTCAACCTTGGGTTACCACTCCACACAATCTGTATTTCAGCCCCATTTTCCATCTCATGGGATGGGTGCTGGTGATGCTCTCCCCAGAGCAGCTTCATGTGTTTCGGGAGCACCTAAAGCTTCTCAAGCCACCAACTGGTTGCCAAATGCTGGGTTTTGGGGCTTGGACCCAAGACTGGTTCTGGAAATCAGAAGATCTGATTTTACCATCCAAGGGGGTGGGGGAGAGCAATGGAGTTGCCTTCATCCAGCCTCAGAATCATGGATCATAGAATGGCTTGGGTTGGAAGGAATCTCAAATAGCATCTAGTTTCATTCCATCTGGAGTCCTCCCTGGCCCCTCGCTGCTGAGTCCTCAACATGCCATGGGGGAAGTGGGAGCAGGCAGACAGTGCTGTGCCCACAGCAAGCTAATGGGATTGTTGCCTGCTTGCCCTTACGTGTCAGAACTGCTGCCTCAATCAGACTATCATTATTATCCTTCCATGCTTCTCATTCAAAGTGCTAAGGGCCCAGGACAGGGCTGTGTCTCTGTGGGGCTGTTCCCATAAAGCAGAAGGGGCTCTGGAGGACACATGGTGCTGGTTGAAAGGTTCGTGGTTCTCAGATTCATCTGTAGCTCTTCCAGCCCTATCCAGGAGAAGTACAAGGGCTGGGACGTACTGACAGGTCCTGGGGCTTGTTGCGCCAGCTCCATCTATGGTATCTGAGAGCATACAGTTGACTCCTGCTTTTTGCTCTGTGTACATTGGGATTTTCTCTTCCCTTGAGAGGAATACATGTCCCCTTGAGAGCCAGCACTCTTTTGTGGGTCTGCCCTAACAAACCTTAGCCATTGAGGCCACTGCCTGCGTCTCCTTCTTTAGCTGTTCTGCTCCTGTGCTCTCCTTGACGCCATCGAATGACCTTCCGATCCTGGGGTTTCTTTTGCTTTTCTTGCCATCCCAGGCATGCAATGAATTCACCACCCACGTGATGAACCTGCTGCGTGAGCAGAGCCGGACCCGGCCCATCTCACCAAAGGAGATAGAGCGGATGGTGAGCATCATCCACCGCAAATTCAGCTCCATCCAGATGCAGTTGAAGCAAAGCACGTGTGAAGCCGTCATGATCTTGCGCTCCCGATTTCTGGATGCACGGTGAGTTCACTTCCCCAGACCTTTCTCTACATCCACTGAGCAGCTTTGTTTGGGCCAGGGAGAGATTCTGAAGTGACTCAGGGAGCCTGGGAAAGGCAGGGCCCCCGGTTTTGAGCCACAAGGACTGTATCCTCCTTATCCTTCCCTTGAGAACTACACACTGCTGATTCTGCTGCAACACTTCAGTTAGGGATGAAAACTAATCCTGCAAGCCGTCCTGTTCCCTCTGGTTTTCCTGTTCTTTTCCTTCTGTTTCCATTGTCCCAGATTCTCAGTGTGCTTTAGAGTTTATTCACTTTCCGAGCTGGTCAGATGCAGACTGTAGGCTTGGGCTACATCTTGAGATAGGGAGGCTGGGCAGCTACAACTTGGGAAGAAATAGCTGACAGTATCCAGCTGTAAAAGGAACAGACTTCCCCAAGGACTTACCTGTGGCTGCTTTCTCAGCACAGGGCTTTGTAGAGCAGCACTGACCTCTTCTGCTAGGACAGCCAGGTGTCAGGGGTCACCTTCCCAGGTGCAGGGTCTGGGTGCTGGTGTTAAGGAATGAGATGTACTTGCTTTGGAAGGTGCTGAGAGAGGAGTCCCCAGCAAAGTGCAGACGAGGATTCCTGGCCATGAGTCTGCTGCACCCTATGCTCCCAGGAGCAGGGGAAGGTGGAAGGCAAGTAGGGAAGTTCAAAGCATCTAAAGTTTCCTCAGAAAGAGTGGTAATGCACTCACAGAGGCCCAGAGAAGTAGTGGAATCACTGTATTCAAGAACTGTGGAGATGTGGCACTAAGGAACATGGTTAGTGGGCATGGTGGGGATGGCTTGACTGTTGGACAAGGTGATCTTAGTGGTCTTTTCCAACTTTAATGATTCTGTGAAAGTTATGTTTCTGTTTCTGAATCTCTGGTACTGAATCCTTTTTCTTCTGTTTTTCCTTCCTTCTTCCCTACAAGGCGGAAGAGAAGAAACTTCAACAAGCAGGCTACGGAAATCCTGAATGAGTATTTCTATTCCCATCTCAGCAACCCTTACCCCAGTGAGGAAGCCAAAGAAGAGCTAGCCAAGAAATGCGGCATCACAGTCTCACAGGTGAGAGAGCCCAGAAATACAGCAAAGACAGCTGCTGCTCAGGGAAACCAAACACCTTGGAGGGCACTCAGTCCTCAGTCTAGTTACTTATGTCTCACCGTTGAGCATTTAATTGCTAAATGGGATCAGAGTAAACTGGTGAGTAGGAAGTAGACAGCAGACTTACAGGATCAAGCCATGGGTGAAAAAGAGTGTTTGGGAGAGGACTTAGATGGGATGAAGACTTAATGTGTGTGACTGCGTGTGCAGTCATGGTGTCAGCAGTACAGAAACAGTTCAGCACAATGCACAGAGGCAGTTTTCTCCTCAGGGAATCAATGCTGGTTTGCAAGGAGAGCTCGTATGAGCTGAAAGACCATTCTTCAGGGTAAGGGATTTGAAGATACTGAGAGGGTTTGAGCAGAGTTTGTCTGATGAGGCAGAAGGAGCAAGGTTCTGGTGGGAAGGGATAGAGTCAAACAGGCTGATGGTTAGAGCTAGTCAGTGCTCGAGAAGAGTGGGCTTTCTCAGGGTTGTTTCTCCCTCTCTCTCCTTTGCTTATCCTTCAAAGAAAGGTGGTCGGTGAAGGCAGACTGAATTATTTCCATGCATTTGAAGCAGCCGTGTACTTCCTGAAGTCTGTAGTTTTGAATCACTAGCTATGGGGATTTTTGAGGAGCACAGTCAGTCCTTGAAGTGTTCAGCTGTACATTACTCAGGCCTGCCCTTTGTTTTCTCACTTTTTGGAGCAAGCCTCGTGACTGAGGGCTGGAATGTTGCCTCTGGTAGTCTCGTCCTCGTGTGAGCTTAGCGCTCCCTCCAGGCTCCTGTTGCACTCCCCATCTTGGGCCTCCTTCCAGCCCCAGGGCACATGCCTGCTCATCACTTGAGTAAACTGAAGACAGCGGCAGCATCTGGTGTCCTTGTGAGAGCATGTCTGCCTTCAGCAGGAGCAGCAGCATCTGAGAGTAGGAGTCGTCACTGTGCCGAATGCCCGCTGAGCCACTCCGACTGCATCCCCTGTGCCAGAAGATCCAGGCATTGATTCTGTTCAGAGTTACCTGCAGGAGACAGGACATATTGGCTCAAGTAAAACTGCAGCTGTCCTGATGCTTCCCCTCTCACTTTTAATTCATCTGTTCGCACTTACAACTTCTCCCCGGTGGAGAGAAAATGCCCAGGAGAAATGCTGTGCTTATGAGCTAAATGGGAAGCTGGAGACGGAGCACATTGCCATTAATGAGAAAGCTGGACTGAGAAGTGGAATGGAGCTCTTAACAAACTGTGCCTGCTCCCAGTGCCATTGAGTATTCAGTCCCAGATCTGGCTTGGGTGCTGATCTGAGTTATTGCTTTTTGCCTCCCTAGAGTCTCTGCGTTGTACATTTTCCTTTTCCTCCTACATGGCAGCAGTAGGTGCAATTCAGTACCGGGTAAATTGGTGGATGAAGCTGCTTTTCTATAGAAGCTGCTGAGCTGTCTGTGAGCACTCCAGACAGAAAACGTCAGAGGAATAAATCTTGAAAATTTTCAGTTATCAATGCTCAAGTCAAAACAATTTCCATAAGATGAGGAAAAAGCAGTGAGCTTCCCAGAATTAACATCCAGCCTTATCCTTTCTGACTTGGCATCGGGGCAGTCTATTTGCGGAAGGGGGACTGATGACCAGCAAGCAGAGGAGTCCCATGAAAGAGGCTGATCTGTTGAGTCCCAGCTCAAGATGTCAGCTCCAGGCAACCCCAGGAGGAACTTCTGTTGGAGAATTACAGCGTCCCCTGGCCTTTGTGCATCTCCATCATCCTATTGAGCTTCCTAAAGCAAGGTCAGGAGCGACTGCAAGTCTCTGCTTAGACACCTGCACATAGGAAGACATCCCCCCAGTTCTCCATGTTGCTAAAGAAGAAGCTGGGAGCTGCATCCCAAACCCTAGGCTGAATCTTCCCTACATCTCTGAAATTGTTGGCTACAACGAAGCTGCCACAAGTGAACAAGATTATGTCAGCAAGGCACTGACAGGGATTTGGGGAACACTGTGTGGTTCTGGAGGTTCCCTAACCTTTTCGCTGGAGAAGCAGCCCTGGCAGGGTGCTACAGCCCTATTTCTCAGACTCAGAGCTTCCCATTGCTGTGCTGAATCTGCAAACTTTGGGATGTTTGTCTAGTCACCAGACAGGATGGCCCAGTGACTGTTCTTCAAGGCGTTCGTACCACTGAGCCCACCATGTCACATCGCTGAGCTTTAAGGATTGCCTGCTCACATCCCTCCTTGGATCTTTTTGCTGTCATGTTACATTCCTGTAGGCAGCTCTCTCCAGGACAGAAAGGAGCACAACTGCACTGCTTCTCTCTGCCTTTACATCCAGCCCATCATTTTCAGCCACCTCCAAGGGACACACTTGTACCCTGGGACCAAAGTTAGGTCTTCAGGCAGTCCGTGCTCTGCACACAGGGACAGGCACACAGCCCTGTTCTGAAGGCACCAGATGGACCCACACAAACCCTCTGTTCTCAAGTGTCCCCACTGTCTTTCAGGGGGTTGTTGTAGGTAGAAGGTGCTCCCTCCCATGGCTGAACAAATGGGGAAAAAAACAATTACGATGCACTGTTTAACTTCAGCTAATCCAGTGTCCTCACCCAGGCACTCTTTCCAGAGCAGAAACGTTAATGTTTTTGTCTTTTCTTAAACTCACTCTAGGTATCAAACTGGTTTGGAAATAAGAGAATCCGGTACAAGAAGAACATAGGTAAATTTCAAGAGGAAGCCAATATTTATGCTGCCAAAACGGCTGTCACGGCTACCAATGTGTCAGCCCATGGAAGCCAGGCTAACTCACCCTCAACTCCCAATTCAGCTGGTTAGTTTTGTTTTATTTTATTTTGGGTTGTTAATGTTTGGTTTTCCGTTTGTTTGCCCCCCTCCCTCTAATCTCTCTCTCGATTTCTCCTTTGGGTTATTTCAGTTTTTATTTTCTGGTTTTGGTTGGCTCACTTTTGTGGTCTTGAAAAGGAAAAAGACAGATGGGTTTGGTTTTTGGGGTTGTTTTGGGAGGGTGTGGGGGGATTTGTTTAAGCTTTCTACTTGGTTCCCCTTCTCTGTTCTGGTTCTCATTTGAAAAGCAATGTGATCAGACCATGTGAGTGACAGCGATGTGTTGGGTTCTATGCACAGGCACAAAAGCAGAAAAATGACCAGGAAAAAAAAAAATGCTGGGTTTGTTAACTCTTTGGGAAGAGGGGAAAAAAAAGGGAAAAAAAGGAGAAAAAAATCCTTGTTCCAATTGTTCCATTTCACTGGGGGCAGAAAGCATGAGTGGCCCTCGTTAATAAAGCCCAACATTCTGGGATGTGTGAACTCATGCCATTTGGGAGCTGTTTGGGGCAGATCTCTGTCCGTTGCTTTTCTTTCTGTTGTGGTTACCTTTGATTGCTTACACGATGATGTCTGGATCACCTGCAAGAGTGTGCTCTGTGTGAATTTTATTTTCCCTTTGTGTCAGGATGACCCAGGGAGACCTGTGGGTCACTTTGTTCCCTTCCCGTTCCCCCTTTCCTGCCCATTTGCTGTGGTTTCCATCTGTTTGTTTTGAGGGTCAAAGGCACAGAGCACTTTGCCCAGATTTCAACTCCTCCGCTAGAGAACGATGCTCACTGTAGTGGCTGACTACAAAACCATGCCAGGCTGTGGTTGGTATGCTCTGTTCTGGTTATGCCCAGCTCCCAGGAGCGATGGAAAACTGAAACCTGATGAAAAAGAACAAAAAAGGGCAATTTAGTGGGTGCCACGCTCTTATCCAGACAAATGTCCATGTGCATCTTTTCTTTGTAGCTTGGGCAGCCCATCACTCATACACCATGCAGACGCTGGTTGCTACTGGGACATGTGCTCACATAGCAAATGCAGTATCTACACAGTAGAAGGTATCAGGGGAACTGCACCCCCAGATCTGGAGGTCTGGGGAGGCAGAGAAAGCAGAGCCCAGACAAAGGGAAAACCAGCAGTGTGGGTTTTTTTGTTTGTTTTTGTTTTTCCTTTTCCTTCCATTGCTGTAACTGCAGAAGATGTAAATGCAGTTTGAAAAATGTCATCCTTACTACCTGCTCAAATGGCTAAGGCCCAGCTGTAGGGAAGCCTGGAGGACAGAGAGCAGAACTGTGTGTGCTTGGAGGATGGTTACCTGCTGCCCTGCACACACAGCTTGGGTCCTCAAGGCACAGCTCTCCTCCTGTCCTGCCTTTTTCAACTGGAGTCAGACCCAAAGGTGTGGAAGGGCAAGGGAGCAGCTTCAGATGACTCAAATAGGTTTGGAAATGGCTGTTGGATGTAGGCATTTCCCCAGTGCCTGCCCTGTTAAATAGTGCTCCAGCGTGAGTCTGTTCTTTGACGTCCCCACAGGCAGTAGCATGGCTGTTTCAGTGATAGATTGGCCGGTACCCTGCAGTAAACGGCTGAGATATTCCCTGGATAACAGTGCTTTCAAGGAAGGACAAACAGTCTTGTTATTAACATGTAAGAAATGAGCTCCTGGGTCCTCTTTCTTGCTCCCTTTTCCACTCCCCAGGAACACCAACCCCTTTTCCCATGCTAAGGCAGTGCTAAAGCAGCTTGTTGATGCACATGAGCTCCTGCACTTTGAAGGTCCTTGCCGTGCTGGAATCAAACTGTTTCTGAGCCACCACTTTCCCTGTATGCTGCAGCAGTGGCAGAGCAGGGAGACCTACAGCCCAGTCTCTAGGGAAGCTTGCAGGGACAGTGGAATTGGATGTCCTTATGTCCTCTCTTGAGAAGACAGATGGAAGGGCCTTGGGACTTCATCTCCAGCAGTGGCACCCCAGGTTGAGATTTCCCCTGCTCAGCCAGGCATCCCTATACTGTCATGTTGTAGGGCAGAGGTGTGTCCCAGTGGCATCTGAAGTCGAATGACCTTCCCTTCTTCAGGTTGTGCTGTAGGTGCTGACAGCCAAAAGCACACCTGTACATGCTCGGTCTGAAGTTGCTATCAAAGACTTGAGGATGGTGCCAAGGATTTTGAGCCATCCAGGTGTGCTGCATTGCCCTGGGAGGAATGTGGAAGTGCATGAAGAGATGAAGGACTAAGGTGGATGAAAGCTCTCCTTTAATACCACAGTCTTTTTTCTGTTTACAGATCAGTGGCAGGGATTTTGGTGAGGAAGGAGCCTGAACAAAGACTAGATTTGGTGATTTGTAGGGTCCTCTGGTTTAAATACATGACAGGGCACATGGAAACAAGGGGAGCAGACAGAGGACAGGTCATGAGAAGGAGGCAGCAACCAGCAATGTAGCCCCTGGAGGGCCATGATGTTGGAAGAGGAGGTGGAACTGGATGTGCTGGGACCTGGGACAGGAGCTAAATTCATTTCTGCTGTGGCTGTGCAGACCCATCTGTTCTCTGCATTGACAGCCATGTTACCGGAGCTCGGTGAATGGCTACAGTCAGTCAAAGAGATTGGCCACACATTGACAAGGGCAAGGACTGCATCTGGCTGGCCATCTGGCACCTTCAGCACAGGGTCCCCCACCCTCAGTCACCCAGGCCTGAATGTCAAACACCTTTTCATCCTGAATACACGCAGTTGGGTTTTATCAGCCAGATGTTCAAATAAGCTGAGATGTCTGGCTCATTTGGGCTAACAACTCCCCGTCCTCACTTTGATTGTATGGACAATCTCAGCACAAAAACCATGTGGCAAATGAGAGTTATTTTATGTGGACTGACCCTTTTGCCAACCAGAGTCCTGGAGGACTGCACATGGGTGATGACATTCAGTGAAATCTTCCATGCAGAGCAGCCAAAATTATCCTAAACTTTTTATTATTATTATTATTATTATTATTATTTTACCTGCTCATCCTTTCATTTTGTAAAAATCTTCATGCACAGCTGCTGATGGACAGGATTTGGAAATATGCTTCATCAGGCACGAGCCTGATGGCTGTATCTTCTCTGCCTTCCCCCATTTGTTTGTGGCAGTTGCTTTTTGTGGGATGCCAGAGTGAGCAAAGAAACCATGCTCGTCGTGGTCTCACTGTCTTCAGTGTCATTTGGCAAGTGAAAAAGAACAGCAGGTGTCCTGCAGGACCAGCCCAGGCTTATTATGTTTGCTTTTAGAACTTGTGTCAGATTAAGAGACGTTGTCCACCTGAGCTGCTGCATGGTCCATCATCTTCTTCCCTTATCTTTGGCCATGGTAGAAACACAAGGAAAAGTTACTTTAAATCAAATTTTCCTGATGCATATAGGTCGCAGCCATTGACTTTAATTAGGAATCTCATGTACACGACCAAAGTTGATTTCAGTGGTTCAGGATACTAGATTTGTCTCATTGGTGGTAGGTGGTAGGAATAAGCAGCATATAAATGTGAGAAGTGGAAGAGATCTCATTGTTGGTATTGCTTTGATGTAGGTTTTCACCCAGTGGCAAGATCTGAGTGCCAAAGCTCGTTTCTTTTTAAGCATTGCCACCACTTTTTCTGAAGCTGGTCTTCTGATGGGAACTCGCCACTAAGGAATGATGGTGATTAGACTTGAGTTTGATAAGATGTGTGGATGCTGAAGATGGACCGTTGCTTCACACTACTACAAATGTTTCTTCCCGTTTTCTTTTGTCTGTGCATGGAAGCATCAAGGGACTTACATGTGCCAAGTTCAGAGACCTTTCATTGTGGGTCCACAAGCTCAAAGGTGGTTATTACATTTCACTTCTCAAGGAGTTCTGTGTCAAACTATGACCGCTGTGGTGTGTTTCCAACGGAGCCTTTCAGAGGGACAGATCAGATTAAGGATGGAGCATCCTCCAGCAGACAGACAAGACTTGTTTCTGTGAAGGATACCAGTGTCTTGATTTTGAGGACTCTTTGCATTCCTCCCCCTCCTTTTCCACCCCAGCACATCAGTCCCTCGTAGCTGTGTCTCTGAGGCTTTGGGCCATTGTAATTTTCATACATGGCTAGCACATAGGCAGCAGAGTGCTGAAACAGCAGAGTAGCAGCTGAAAGGGCTCTCTGCAATTACGGCTCTGATACAAATGCATCCATACATGCGGGCCATTGGTATGCGCATATTTATCTTTGCATCCACATCAGCAGCAAGACATATTTGCCGTTTAGATATGCACATATATTGTAAAAATACCCTGTGCCGATAGCAGTGTATATCTTGTAAGTGACATCTCCAGCACTCCTCATGGTTTCCAAGACACCGGTGCTCTACAGAACTAGAGTTTGTGATTGTTTATTTTTATTTCCTCCCTCCCAGTCTCAGTTTTAAGGGGCAGGTTTGTTAAATTTCCATAAAGACCAGATAACGTTTATGATATTTTTGTTATTATTATCGTTGTTATTATTATTATTATTATTATCTTGTTTTGGTAGGGAAAGCTGGAATGCTGCTCTGCTTGGGGGTAGAGTGATGGTGGAGTCCTGTCAGGGTTTCCCAAGTCCTCTTTCCAGCTCTGACACTGATTGCTTGTGTCGTCTTGAAGGGTTTCGCTCACCTTAAAATAACTGCAGAATATTCTCTGCTTCTTGTGAGGGTTAACTGCAAAATCCTTTGGTTCCCAGCCACTGTGGGAGCACAAAAGCCATCACACTGCTCTGGGCTTTATGCTGGTAGTCAAAGTGATCATTCAGAAAAGCCAGTAGGAAGCAGTTTTTTGTACATAAGTGTCCATCCTCATGCTTTGTGTTGAGTGGTGTCAGTGGGGGATATCCTCAGTCTCCTAGTTGACATCCATAGCTTTTTGCCTTTAGAACCTGAGAGGTGGGGAGGCGACAGGAGCTGGGTACCAGCTGAGCAGGGAGGCGCTGGCTGCAGCCCTGCCACCTAGTGCTGCTTACTTCACACAGCATTGGTGGGTTGCTCCACCGTGTGTACTCCTGATTAAAGGGCCATGTGTGAAGAGTAAGGTTTTTTGCAGGAAGGTGTCGTGAACGTGAACTCTCCAACTTAGACCTCCTACTTGTGGACTTGCTCCCTGAGCCTTCTTGATGTTGGCTTCCATCTGGTTCCTTCCTGGCTCATCTCCAGGGCAGAGCCTGGGCACTGCCAAGAGGGTTTCTTCCTTCTCCTCTCCAGCAGGAGATGGGAATTGTTGGACATTTCTCAGAGCACACACATGAGCCATAGTTGGGCAGTTCCAGCAGGACTGTGGTTGCCAATCTTCCAAGCTGGAAGCAGCAGCGGAGATGATGAGAGCGTATTTTGGGTTGGAGCTGAAAGCAGAGCTGACCTGGGCCCCTGAAGTCTCTCCTTTCCAAGGCTAACGTCATGTATATAACCAAACCTTGCACGTTGAGCTGTCTCACACTTAACGCGCTGATCTGCACGATGAGTTCTGAAATAATCCCATAAAACCTTTTTATTTATTTTTAACCCCCTTCCCTCCTCACCTGCCTTCCAGTTGCACATTAGGTTTGTTTCTCCTGTTTGGTAGTCAAGGAGGTGCTCAGATATCTCAAAGCTGGAAGCAGGACCTTTTTTATTTTTCCTTATCATCTGTTGGTTGTTTTTTTTTCCTGATCCCACCCAGTTGTCCTCACTATTATCGTTTTTGAGCGTAACACTGGCGACTGGTGCATGCAGTGGGGATTTGCTTACAGAGCTTGTTGTTCTGGGACAGCTGGCCCCATGGGGCTGGGACACCCAGGTCCTCTCACAGCCCACTGAGATGAAAGAAGGTTGTCAACAAGATCATTACTGGGAGCCTGGCCCAGGTGCCTTCACATTTTTGTGAACCTTCGCTCCTGGTGCGTTGTGCTCACCCTGGGATGGATCCTGATGTCCTGAAGGCAGACCATGCATAGCTTCCTCAAGGGAGCTCTGGGCATGGAAAGGGGTGGTGCTTGGATGTGGTCACCCGGCAGAAAGGCCCCGTAAGGGTGCATGGCCTAGACTTACCTGCACTGAGCTGAGCTTCTCAGAGACAGCAGCAGCATGGGCCCAGTTATCCGTGCTGAAGTGGCTTCTGCTTTTGATAGTGAAGCGTTCTTTGGGTAATTCTGTTCTCTGGTGCAATCTGCCGGGTAGACATCTCCAAAAATCGAGATCTGCGAAGCTGCCTGAAGGATTTTGATGGCCAGAAATGAAAGAAAGGGCTGTCTTGAGTCCTCCAGGCTGGGTTTTGTTCATCTTAGTCCAGAGCATGAAGAATCCTTCCTCCAGCTGAGGAGCTGTTGAAGAAAGTTCTTGGCATTGAGCTGTAACAACATGTGGCTTTGAATAACCTCAAGAGTGCATCCTTTTTTTTTTTTTTGCTTGCTCTGTTCTTCATACTACTAACCTGATTGTGTGTTTTGTTTTTGTGGTTGCTTTGCATGTTGTTCCTTCCTCTTGGCTGAGAGTCATGGGGTGGATCTTTTTCCTTTCTGTGATTCAGGTGCCTCACTCTTTCCTTTCCAGGTTCTTCCAGTTCTTTTAACATGTCAAACTCTGGAGATTTGTTCATGAGCGTGCAGTCTCTCAATGGGGATTCTTACCAAGGGGCCCAGGTTGGAGCCAACGTGCAGTCACAGGTAGGGACCCATCCGATGTACTGCCAGTGAATGCATTAGTGTTGGAGGAGCCTTTGATTGTATTGGCACTTCTCCCTCCCGTCCGAAAAGAGCAAATCTCAACCAGCACAAAAGAACCAACCAACGCTTATAAAAAAGTAAAGCAAACCAAAAAAACAACCAACCAACCAAAAAAAAAAAAAAAAGCAAAGGCAACAACCACCCAAAAAATCAATCAGAAAGAAACCAAAAGCGAACACCCAACCAAATCAACCATGGTCTTGAGGAGACTTGCCCACACTTTGTGAATGCATTTGGCTCTGGCTTGATAGTCGTAACAGGAGGAAAGGAGGTTTAGGAGAACAGGCATGTACTCAAACAAAAGCAGATGAGATTTAGGTTCCGCATGCTTTATTCTTCCAAGGGAAGGGGTCAGATGTCTGGACCGGTGTCTCGTTTTACATGGCTTCCACTTACTCCTTTGATGCCAAACCAGGTGTCTGCTGCAAGGCGAGAAATGTTCAAATACACAGCTAGGGTTTTTGTTTTTTTTTTCACTTTTTTTTTAAACTAAAAGTCACCCCTCATGGTCTCCCCATATTCCCAAAGCGCAGGCACTCACACTGCCCATGTACACACCAGCAAGACAGAGTGAGGGAGCTTTGAGCAGCGTTACTGAAACATCAACCTATGCTTGAAGAAGAAAGAATTTAAAATAGCCAATAGCTCACTTAGATCTTCCCCTTCCTACCTGATGTCCAGATATGCCATGAGTCTTCTCTCTGGTGTCTAAGGCTCTGTGTTGAGAGATGACAGCCAGTTTGACATGTTCACATTGGGCAAGGAGAGCTTTCTAAAGCCCAAGTCACTCCCCTTGCAGTGCTGGACACAGAGATGCACATCACTGTGCGTACTGCTGCCAGGGTCTGGGCTGAGCAGTAAAGGGAGAGGAGCGAGGCACTTAGAGGAGAGCTGACGGTGCCTTGCCATGGTAGGTATATTCTCTGGGCCCTCCAAAATGGAAGGAGGAGCTGTCTTCACCCAGCTCCAAAGATCTCCTTCCACTGATGTGAGCTCAAAGGGTGGAAGGGGATGAGTAAGACTGTGGGTCCTTGGGCACGATGCTGAAGTTGGCCCCAGTGATGTGCCCCAGGAGGTGCCAGCTTGTGCTTGCCACGCTGTTCTCCCTCTCCGCTCTTGGTGTCTAAGGGCTTGGGGCCACCAAGAGTGTGATGGGGGTGGGCCATTGGGGAGGCAAGGGAGCGCTCCTCCGACTTGACTCTCACCATGAGTCCAACCACGGTTCTTTCCCCCCCCCCCTCTTTAAATACATATCTTTATCAGTGCTATTACTATTACTGTTTATTCTACCGTGCCAAAGATGAACCGAAGCGGCTTTGCCCACTAACCTTTCATTCACTCTAATTTGTGTCTTTGTTGTCGTTGGTCTGTTTAGGTGGATACCCTTCGCCATGTTATCAGCCAGACAGGAGGATACAGTGACGGACTCGCAGCAAGTCAGATGTATAGTCCGCAGGGCATCAGTGTAAGAAAAAAAAAATAGGCTTGGGTTCTTGTTTTATTTTTTTCCCTCCCTTTCATTTTTGTTCTCTCACTACCAATTATTTCAAAGCCATAGGGCTCAGAATGCCACTTAGTAGGACTTGTCTTTGCTTTTACGGTCACCTAGTTTATTGCTTCTGTATCGGTCACGCCAACGGCAGAGCTTTGCCCACGAAAAAAGTGGCGACTGGGCAGGCTCTGTGCAGGCAGCTGGCGTCTAGGACTGTCAGAGCCGATCAGTGTTCGCGTGGCACCTGCGGCCACATGCGTTCGGCTGAGAGGAACTGCTAAACAGGTGACACCTCGCGTAACCGCGGTGGGGAATGTCACCACGAGCGCCCTAACCCAGAGATGGCTCCACGCCGATGAGGCTGATGGCAGAATCCTGCAGCGGCCACCTAAAAATAACCCAACCCTGGCCAGCATCTGAAGCCGGGCTGGGTGGGCGGGAGGGGGCTGAAAGCACAGCGATGATGGGGTTGACGGCGGTAATGGTCATAAATAGAAGGAAAAGGGGAAAAAAAACAAGCGCAACCCAAGAAAACCTCGCCCAACCGAACTGGGGGAGGATGCAGGGGGGAGGGAGGGCTTTGGAGCATCTTCTCCTTGTTCTTGGGTGCGCTGGCGGGTTCTGACTAGCATGAAAATTCGTAGCGACAAGCTGTGTCGTACAGGGTGAAATCGATCAGACACACACAAGGAGAACCGAGTGTAGATTCGGGACAGCAATCCAACTTCATTTCTCAGATCAATCGTCCACCATCTCAGCGGTGGTGACAGCAAGCTGGGAGAAGAGGGCAGCCTGGAAAAGGAGGCTGTGCTCCTGGAGTGGGTGGTGGTGGTGGTGGTGGTGGCCAGGCTGGCGAGGGGAGGAGGATGGCTGTGGCCCGTGGTCAGCATGCACCATAATCCCGTTGGGTGATGAGGAGGATGAAGGTTGAGGTGGGGCAGTCTTGGGCTGTGCAGGGAAGTGGTGGGTGCCATGTTGTGTTTTGCTGCCTATGTTGCTGACTGGAAGACTGAGAGAGTATTGTCTTTGGGGGGAGGGGGTCAGGCCCAACCTTGGCTTTGGGCTTGGGCCAGTGGCAGCATAGGCTGCTCCAGCAAAATGCCGCCTGCAGCGAGGCGGCCAAGGGATGCCCAGGGAGCTCCAGCTCTGCCAGCCAGCGTCTGTGGCTTCCTGTCAGTTTGAAACAAAGGCGCTGAGATGGAGACGTGATACATGAGGAGGCATTAAAAGAGCTTCCTCACAGCCTCCAGCCCTTCCCTGCCTCTGCCTTTCATTCAGGGACGGGAGAACATGGCCTCAGCTGCCAACCACGGGGCACCTCGCCCTGCCGCATCTCCCTTTGAGTCCCTTCACCCTCCAAGGAGACCGCTCTCCAAGGAGTCTTTGCCATTTGGCACCTTGCATCTGACCAACTTGGGGCCCTTGGTGTCTGAAAGACCGCCACTGACATGGGCAGACCCCGGGGGTGGAGGAGGAAGGGGCTGCCGAATGGGGGCTGCCCTCCCCGCTCCACCGGGTGCCGGGGCTTAGCAGGCAGCTTGACGTCACGAGGCAGAGCCAGGGAGGATTTGTGAAGTAATGTAATTGAACATGTGCAGATAATTATGTCTCATTACATAAGCCCGTTGCAAAAACGGTGCTTGGAAATGCCACATGAAAGAGCCTATCGTTCCGCATTAATTTCTCTGTGCGCTGAATTTATTCCCTTTCTGGCTTTTTAATACTTGAAGAGTAAATGAATCGGAGGCTGATCATGATAAGAGATGATACTTTTGTATAAATTAAAATACCCCCAAGGAAAGAGGCTGAGCTGATTATGGTTGCAGTTGGCTTGGAAAATAACAGTGGGCTGGGTTAAGCCAAAATTTGGGGGGAGGGTTGCTGATGGGGATTACAAGGCAGGGAGGGGGACAAGAGGAGAGGGGAGAAGAAAGGAGGAGTGCAAACTTGAAAGCCACATAGGACATCAGTGGATGGACTGGTATTTCTGGCAGCCAGTGGTGGTCATAATGGGAGCAGCACTGGGAGTTGATGAGCTGATGGCAGCAGCTTCCCAAATAGTGACCCAAGATGAGTGGCATGTGGTGTTGGATCGTTTCTAGGAGGGCAGGAACCCAAAGTTGCTTAAAAAGGTCAGGCTTATGAAGGATGAGGGTCAGAGACAGGCACAGGCAGGGAGGCAAGTGGGTAGGCAATCCACCCAGTTCGGGGGAGACTCCTTATCTAGCTAGCGTGTTTTCCCAATAGTATCTGGAGCCAGTCTAGAAGAGATTAGAAGGTTTAGGAAGCACTTCTGGGTTGCCGTTCTTTCCCCAGACCCTTTGCTTGTGATATCATGTCTTCTCATCCATGCAGATCCCAAAGCGTTTGGCAGCCCCCAGCTGAGTGATCTGCCACCCCTGCAGCCTGGCTGCCTTCCGGGATGTGCTGGTGCTGGGTCCCATAGGTGCTGGTGTTGGTCCATATAGGCAGGGGCTGTATCATAGCCAGAGCAGTGGGCACATTTTCCCTGCCTCTCCTCAACCCCTTTAATGGTGCAGAAATGAAGCGGGATGCAGAGGAAAGCTGCCAGCAACGCAGAGAGCTGCAATCCCTGCCTAACCCAAGCATCCCTGGGAGCTGCTGGAAGGAGATGAGCCGAAACCGAGTCAAGAGCCCTGTCACAAAGATCTCTGCACGGGGCTGAGGTTAACTCATCCCTGGAGCCCGTCAGGTCTGGGAAGGCAGCAGCAGGTTGCCCGGCTCCACCGCTGTAAAGCTTGGCAGGGGAGACAATGCACAGGGCTCGCCTTCCTTGGTGGAAGATGAATTTTTAAACGCGTGCACATCGTGACAGCTGAGGACAGAAATACACCCAGAGCCCAATTTCCTCCGTGGTTCTTCTGTGAGCCTGTCTTGCTGGTTGCAGCTGCTCAGCGGCTGACAGCCCGCCCAGCACTGTCTGTGCATCGTTAGCAGGATGATCAGCCATGTCCCTGCCACTGGATCTCTGTGACCTGCAGCGATAGCTGAGGCAGAGCGAAAACAGCCAACCTCACATCTAGGTGGAGATGGTGTTGGGCATCCCCACGAGGTCTCTTTTGGCCTTGGTGGGTTAGGACTCAAGTTCTCATTGACCACATCTAGAAGGAGGATGTCCCTGTATGTGTCCTCCTTGCCATGTGCACAGGGAGCTGTGTACTTGCTCCCGTGGATCTGCCTGTAAACACTCTGTTAATGCAGGCTGGGTTGCTGCAACGACTCTGATCAGTCTGCTAATTAATGGTTTATAGTCCTCTTAAAGAAAAGTCCTGTCAGAAATTTCTTTTTGGACACCTGGCTCCTCCTTTCCTTCTGCCCTTTGTGCCCTCCATCCCTAACCCTCTAATGAAGAAAACGGAGCAGGCTCGTTCATAAATCATTGCAAAGTCTAACACGGGAGGCTATTTTTAAAATTGGTCAGTGTGGAGGAGTTTTGATTTAAAAATGCTGTTCTGCTTATTTACACAGCAATGTTTGTCATTGTGATGGTGGTGCCCCATTGCACAGTGGTTGTACATCCACGCCTGCCAGCTGGGAGTGAGGACTTTCAGTGGCCCTGCTGGCTGTAGGAGGTGAGACCTCCTTGTTCATGTGAGGCAGGCTGCCCGGGGGCACATCCAACCTGCCCTTGGGCATCATCAGGGATGGGGGCACCCACAGCTCTGGGCAACTCTCTGCCAGCACCTCTCCACTCTCTGCAGGCTCTTTGAAGCCTGTTCCCCTCTGTCAGACACAGTGTCTGGTTTGTTGGGAGGCTGAACTGACTTCCTGGCCTATTGCTAGTGGGACAAGGATTTGGCCACGTACAGTGGGATGTGGTGACAGGCTTCGTGCAAAGCTGCAAGCTCCTTGAAGAACTGGCAGAAAATCAGCCCCATGCAGGAGGCCGGGCTGGGAGCCAGCCTGATTTGCTGGAGGAAAAATGCTGTGAGACCTGCAGAAACCGGCCCCAAACTCAGTTACTTCAGCAATCCATCACCCTGGCTCTACGCTTGGACAACCACCAAGGCCACGGCAGTGCTCTGGCATCAGAAGGTGACATTTGAAGAGACATCCTGGAGACTATTGCTGCATGTCTGGCTGTGTCCCCCCTGCAGAAGTCAGAGCTGTGTGCAGGGCTCCTCACAAGGCCCCCTCTTGTCCACCACTTGGGCTGTAGTTTGGGGCTACTCTTGCTGGGGGAATGTGAGACTGTGATGTGTGGGGTATCTTCAAGGCCAAACCCGTTGGAGCAGAGGTCAGCACCTGCCCAGCAGCATCTCTTCTTCCCACTACGTGGGATTGAGGTGACAGTCATGGCACAGAACCACCTTTTCTGCCAGAAGTGAAGGTTGGCTCCCAATCTTGAGGCCAGAAGGGCTGCCCAGCGTTGTGGGGGTACAGGGAGAGAGGGCAGCCATTGTCTGCAAGATGTTCCCCCTCGCTCCTCTCAGCCACGGCAAGCATGAAAAAGCCTCTAAAAATAGTGCAACACAATAGGGACCGAGCCCTGCTCCGAGCAGCCCCCACCGCCTCTCCCCCCTTCTGCTCACTGTAATGACCCTGCAAACACTAAATGGCATCTGAGTGCATTAAGCAGCAAACTCTCCGGTGACATAGCAATTACGGCTCTGAAATAGATTTGGTGCGTCACGGAAGATAAGGGTTTTGAAAGTTTCTGTTGTGATTATAGCTTGTAACTCCAACAAATAACAGGCTTCGTAATAAGAGGCTGCCAGCGCCGCTATTGTGGCTCTCTCTCACTGATGGCACGTAAATTGCTATTAATGTCCTAAGTGTACTTGAATATGCCAGTCTCTGGGCGGCGGAGTTGGCTCCGTGTCTCTCTCTCCGCGGCCTGTCATTTTGGGGCTGATAATCTACGGTAATTGCTGCCTCTTGCAGTGGACCAAGACGTGGAGAAGGGTGGGTGCTGCGTCCTGGGAAGCAGGATGTGCAGTGGGGATGCAGTGGGCGCATGTGGGGTTGTGGGTAAGGCCGTATGTCTCCCAGACATCCCTGTGTCCCCCTCCCATGAGGTCCCATGTGGGACCGTTGGGCCCAGCGATGGATGTCCCTAGAGCAGGAGGTGTAGGGATGGCCAGAGCAGGCAGAGCAGACTGGGCACATCCAAAGCGGGATGGCTGCTGCTGCTGGCTCAGCACAGGCAGGAGTCAGGGTGGATTAATTAGCCGAGCACTGAATCAATGTCAGAGTGAGCAGGGGAGGTGGGGGCAACATCTGCTCCTCTCCAAAGGGGTCGGCAGCCAAAAGCAGCTTCTGTGAGCTATCGTGCATGGCAGCTGGGGGCCAGCTCTGCCCTGCGGAGATCTGGGTCTTTAGGTGGGAAAGCACCCATTGGCTGTGGGAGGAAAACATTGCCTGCCTTTGCAGTATGACCTCTTGGATGAGGAGGATGCTCAGCTGCACCTCTGGATGGACTGCTCTGCTGCCAGCTGTGGTAGGACAGCACTGCAGGACATTGGGGCGGTGTCAGGATCGGCGTATATGGTGCAAGTGGGAGCTCCAGGATGGATGTGCAGCACACTGAGCCTGAGGAAGCTGGGGAGTGTGGACAAGTTGCACTCATAGGTCCCTCGTGTGCTGGTGTGCAGCACTTATTCTGCGTTTTCCTAGCGCTTGGGTCCAGGTGGAGTTCCAGAAAGGGGTTTCAAGTTCAAAAAACAAGCTTGTTTAGTTGTTTGCTATTTTCCTCTTCTATTGGGAAGCATCCTATTGTAGTGTAAAAAAACAGAGTTCAGGGTTTCTGCAGAAGCCCATACTTATTTTAAAGAGCAAAATTTCTGTGAAGGCTTGAAATTATCAAATCCTGACGTTTTCATCAGTGCTGTCCTGAGCTGTTCTTGTACTTTGGGTATCCACAATGGGATGGGGTGACAGAGCAGGGGATCCTTGCCCTCCATCCCTAACACCACTCCATTATGCAAATGGAGACCTGGGGTGTGCAGAGACATTGCAGTGGGGCTCCGTTTTGCTATGACTGACAGCTGCCCATCTCTATCCCTGCAGGCTAATGGAGGTTGGCAAGACGCTACTACCCCATCGTCGGTGACCTCCCCCACAGAAGGCCCTGGCAGCGTTCACTCTGATACCTCCAACTGATCTCCCAGCAAATTGCATCCCTGGCTGATCCGGCCCCGGCGGGGCGGGAGGGGAGGGGGCCTCTCCTAACACCGCAGCAGTCAGACTGGAGGTGAAACCAATCAGCACACACAAGAAGACTCCTTCTCTTCTCTTCTCTTCGTCGGGATGCTTTTTTCAGCCAATCTGGACACTTCTTTATACTCTCTTCCCTTTCTTTTCTGGGTAGAAGCCGCTCTCCCCCCCCCTTGCCGCCGCCACAACACCTCCCTTCCCCTACCTCCCCACCGAAGGGTATTTTGACAGCTAGAAGGATTTTAAGGAGGAAAAGCAAAAAACAACCACCGCCACACCAACCGAACCAAAAGCAGTGCATGGCCTCGCACTGAGCCAAAACCATACCTGGGTCGGGTCTCGCTCCTTCTCCACCAAGCAGCCCCGCTCACCCTGTTCCTCTCTCGCTACCTCTCCGTAGGAAATGGTCTCGGCAGCCCTCTGCCCTGCTGCACCCTCACCTCGGCTGCTCTGGACACTGAGTGCACCCATGCTGTGCTCCAGGAGCCATCCCCGTGCACTGTGGGCTGGAGGGCAGGTGGTGCAACCCTGCTGTATGTATGTAGGAGCTGGAGCCGGGGGCTCCCCACTGCTTAATGGAGGTACCAACCAACCCAATGCCAGCCCCCAGACAGCACTGCTTGTTCTTCTCCCAGCCCTGCTCTGCCGCAGCTCCCAAATGCGTTGGTGCTGAGAGGTGGAACCCTGCCACGGGTCCCTCGTGGCCACCATTCTGCATTGCTGGTGGGGAGGGCAAGAAGCAGAGGCAGGTGAGTCACTGCTGGTAACCAAAGTGCTTTATGTGATCAAGTAATGATGGATGGAACGCGAGCAGTTTTCTCACTTAGGGAGGCCAGCAGCAGATAGTTCTGCAGAGAGCATTGCATGGTGTTAGCTCGTGCTTCCCCCTGCAGGTCCACCAGCTGCAGAGGGAAAGGAGAATGTGGGTTTCTTGGTGAAAGGGTTGGTGGCCCCCTCTGCATCCCCAAACTGTTGCCTGGTGCATGGGACCCCACAGGCTAGATGCACTCTGGGTGCCTTTGGAAGTGGGTCATACAGTGGCTTTGCTTGAGGGTGAAGCTCTGCAAGGTGAGTGGACGTCCCTTTGGGGTTTGTCCTTCTGCCGTGGCTTGGAGTTACTCTGAGAAGTGGCATCTAAAGCCTTGGGAGATATTGTGGGGTCTTCTGCCCAGCATTTCCCATCTGCTTTAGGAACAGCTGGTGATGGGTGAAAACAGAACTTCGTCCTGCTGCAATGGGATTCTGGGCAGCAGGAGGGAATTGCAGTGACACCCACTGCCTCTTGTCATGGGTGATGGGCAGCAATTTGTTCGGTCGGCAGCGTGGGGCACCTGGCAACAAACCTTAAGGCTTCCCAACCTGAGCTCACCGTCCACGGCTCGCACTCTGTCCACACCAGCATTGGCTCCTTTAAGCTGAAAATCTGGCTGATGCAGAGCAAACATTTCACGTTAAAGCTCTGCCAGAAACATTTCCACCCCTCTGCTGGGTGGCCCACAGCCTGGTGCCAGCAGCTCGCGGTGCCTCGGGGGTCGCCGTGGGGACGTGGCTTTCCATAGGGGCTCCCGAGTGTGCAGTCGGTGACCGCCAGATCAACGAAATGTCCATTCCCTGGTCGCTTCTGATGGGTGACGGGATGAGCGCGATTGCCACTGCTAACAAAAGGGAGCGAATGCCCCAAATCCTGAAAGGTTCAGCCCAAAGGAGAGACTCCGCGCCGCCTCAGTCGGAGAGGGCCGGGCTGCAGGCAGCACATACAGCACCCGAGGCGAAGGGCTGCCTCTGCCACGCTTCGCTTCAGGGCACGAAATGCAGAGGGCCAGGAGCGAGTTGGTCCCATGCAAGGACAGCCCCGAGGACGGCACCGCGCTCACTCCTCCACGGTACTTTGCACCCTCAGGTTCGTCCCTCTGGGTCGCGTTGTCGGTCGCACTCCTTATGTCTGTGCTTTTTTTAAAATGGTTTTATCCCCTCTCCGCCCATCCCTCTACCCAAAAAAAGTGTTGTGGTTATTTTCTTTTAATTATTTTTAATTATTTTTTTTTTTTTTCCTTTTCTCTGCCCAGAAAAAAAACAAACAAAAAAAAAAAAAAAAAAAAAACAAACCTGACTTCGATACCAAAAAAGAAAAACCCCCACAAAAAAAAACAAAAAACGAAATGAAACAAACAAACAAAAACCACACACACACAAAAATCCAACAAACAAAACACTGCAGAAACCCGGAAAAAAAAAAAATAAAAAAAAAAAAATAAAAAAAAACCCCACGGGAAAAAAAACAACAAAACTCGACGATTCTTTCAGCTTTATTAACATTTTCCATTGTTTCTTGCGATTTGTGTCTCGTTCTTTGTAGTATTGATGATAACGAACATTTGATAATGAATGTTCTTGTATATTCAGATAAAGGAAAAAAAAAAAACAAAAAAAAAAAACACACAAAAAAAAAAAAACCAGAACCAAAAACGCAGTCTGAATTTAATAGTGTTTATAATAAAAGAATAAAAAATGGCCCTTTTAGCACGCAAAGTGGAGCAGGGGAAGGTCCATCCCTGCTCTTCCTGTGGCAACAAGCGCTTCATTCCTGTATAGTTTATAACATCAGACTACCTACATTCATCTTCTTTTGTTTTGTTTTGTTTTGTTTGTTTTTCCCTTTTTTTTTTTCTTTTTTTTTCTTTTTTTTTTTTTCTTTTTCTTTTTTTAGTTTTCTCGCATTTGTGAATTAGTTCCAGAATGCTAGAAAAGTGTAGAGTTGTGCACACTCATTTCTTATTACACAATGTTTAAAAAAGTGACGGTAATTCATTTTGTAAAACTTTAAAGGAATAAAAAAAAAGATGGTTGGAATAGTGAGCATTAATAGGTACATTCTAATACTTTATGTTTCTTAACGTTGAGACCCAGAAATTCCTTTTTTTAAAAAGAATTTTGGCTTTTTTTTTTTCCTTTGGCGTTATCTGGGGGGGGTGGGGGGGGTCTTTGATGATGACTTTCTTTTGACCTGTCTGAGATGATGGCCTTGCAGCTTTCCCCTCCTTTTGGCTTCAGAGCTGGGATCCAAATGATGTGAGAAGTGCTGGAGGTGGTTTGGGGAGGGGTGTGCAGGGGGGGGGTCCTTCTCTTCTCCATGGGTTCTCCACCTGTTTGGCCACCCAAGAGCTTTTGGCAACCGCTTTGGGGTTTGGGGAGTAGATGCCCCAATGGGAAGTGAGGACACAGCTCTGAGCCTGCAGTTCCGATGCCTTAAGGTGATGTGCAGTGTTGAGCTGTACAGAAGGGATAGGAAGCCATGAATTCTCCCCCAGGCTTGAACTGTGGGCTTCAGTGCCCTTATTCTCTGCCCTACATCCTTCTCTCGCCGTCACTCCATGCATCTACTCCAGAGCCAATCTTGGAGGCACTGGTTGACCCAACTCGACCCAAGATTAAGGGATGGGAAGCAATGGAGGTGCCAACCCCCATGGCCTCCATCCACCTTGAGTGTTGGGTGAGGATGGGTCTTACAGGTGTTACCAAGCCGCAGGGCCCTGGGAAGGAGCAAGGGATGAGGGAGGGGATGCAGCCAAAGCACCCTCATCAGTCTCCCATCATTGCATGGCTGCAGATGGGGCTCATGGAGAAGAAATCTCTTCTTCAAAGATGGTTTTCCCCACTCGGCCCCCCCCAAAACACCTGAGCTTCTCACATCACTGAACGGTTTAGGTTTCGGGGCGTTCTTTTTACTCCCGAGGTTTCCTGGAGTCCTTCTGTTTTCATACACCTTTATTATTATTATTATTATTATTATTCAGATGATGTAAATCAGATGTTGCCTGGGGGGTTGGTTTTGTTGGTTTGCTTTTTTTGTTCTCCTCGCAGAGCCCTTTCTTCCCTTGTAAAGACGATGCCGTTGTTCTGAGTTGCTTTTTCTTTTCTCTTTTTTTTTCCCCCATCTTTTTTTTTTTTTTTTTTTTTTTTTTTTTTTTTTTTTTTTCCCTCTTTTCTTCTTAGATTCCAAAAACTATCAGACTAAAAAAAAAAAAAAAAAAAAAAGAAAAAAAAAAAAAAAAGACTCTGTTCCGACCTGGTTTTGAAACTTTAAGCTTTTCTGCTTCTGTAAAGAAAAAGGCCTCTGTCTTTCTGATCCCAATTGAGACTTTTATGTTCTATGACGATACTAACAAGGTGTAGGTTTTACAGTTTCCTGATTTGTACTGGTAATGCATATTCCAAATAAATAGTTTCTTTTGTTGCAAAAAAAAAAAAAAAAAAAAAAAAATCTTTAAACCAATCCTGGTGTATTTTTTGGGAGTGGAAAGTGGGAGCTGGAGGGAAGAGATTTGGGTGCCCAGAGTGAGGTACAGCCCCATCGTCATGCCTGCTAAGGACAGCTCTGACCCAGGGCAGGGGCTTCTGGCAGCCCTGCACTGGTGCTGATGGCTGAGGGGGGGCTCAGTGTGACCCCCAGGGGCTGTGATTTCCCAGTGCCAGGCGTTCCGGTGCAGGGCTGGTGGGATTTGGGAAGCAGGGTGGGATGCAGGATGTGGGACGCAGGATGAGATATGGGATACGGGATGCAGGATGGGATGCGAGCTGCAGGACGCGGGATGCAGGATTTGCAGTATGGGATGCAGGATGGATGCACTGCGAGGGATATGGGCTGTGGGCCGCAGGATGCAGGGTGTGCAACCTGCGATACGGGATGCAGGATGTCAGCCAAAATCCCTACCAGCACAAGGATGCCCGAGCTCTCCTGGCGTCGCTGCCTGCGCTCCCCTGTGGGTTTCTTGTCAATGATTATTCAATCTCCGGCTTGACCTTTCTCTTCTAAATAACACAGCAATATCAGTGCAGGCCAGCCTCCAGCTCCGGCTGCAAATTAACTGTATCGCTGGCTGCAGCAGCCCCTCGGCACCGGTGCTGCAAAACCGCCCCAGGCATTATCTCCTTACAACGGTGCTCTCCTAATACCAGTTTAAATATCATCTTGCTCCCAGCTGTTTCCTTCTAATAACTGCTCATCCCGGCTCCCAGCGCAGAAATGCCAGGTCTCAGTGGGCTCCACCGAGGAAATGGCCCTAAAAAGCCTGGGCTGGGGGTGGCGCACATGCTGGTGAATGTCCCCATCCTCATCCCAGCCATCTCCTGGCACAGGGCAAGGTGCAGCACTCCTGGTTATCCATAACCCCTCCAAAATATCCAAGTGGTTGGGAGGCATTAAAGTTATAGTTGGCCGTAAAGCCCGTGTCTGTTTGCTGGAGAATTTAATATATTGCAGGAAGTTTCGCCTATAAAAGGTGATTGTTATGTTTTCTCCAGTTCACAGGGAGTCTGTAACTTACGGCCTCCATCAACGGGAGTGGGTCTCTCCTGCCAGCCCATCACTCTTTGGGGTAATTCTGCTTTGTAGGGAAATATTTCACAGGAGCTGCAGGCAGAGCCCCGTGTGAGCAGGGGACAGTGGTGGCACAATGGGGATGGGGCATAGGGATGGCACTGCCCTCCTTGGGGGACATGAAGGCTGGGACAAACAGAGCAACCCAACCTGCAGGGAGATCCACTGGGAATGTGTGCTATACCCGTTAATTATTGCTAATGAGATTGAGCTTTAATGGCTTTAGAGGGACACAGGAGTGGGATAATAAAGCGTCAGAGCTGATACAAGGGTGAGATGGAGGAGGAGGGGTGGGAGAAAGGAGCCCGATGGGCACAAGGATGACAAATGATGGTCCACACACCTTGTCCTGGGCATTGGAAGTTATCTCCATGTTCTCAGGTCCCCACGGGCCCCTGAAGTGTTCCATCTCCACAAAGTCAACCCTATTCACAAGCACCCTGGCAAGGGCAGGGAGCCCAGAGGTGCTTGCAGATCCCAGCTAATTAAAAATGCAAATGAGAGCCAGAGCTCTCGCCTTGCAGAAGTGCAAATTTTGCAGGCTGGCTGTGCTCCTCTTGCACAGGAAGGTCTGGGGTGGTCTGTCCTCTGCCTCGACCTCCAGCACAGGCAAAGGAAGAGGGGATAGAAAAACCACACCCCTATCACCATGGGCAGAGTCACTGTCAGGGCAGGAGCTGCTTTCAGCACAGAGGGAGTAGAAGGGCTACTCTGGCCCCTGCTGCATCACAGTGCTGCAAAACCTTTCCCCCCACCCATAAAAAGCCCCCCCCGAGCTGGCACAACTGGGGGCTGTCACCACGTGATGCCCGTGGATGTGAATCACAAATGACATTTCATTAACGGCTCAGATAAAGCTGCTTCCCTCTTTCCTGCAATGCCCAAAAGCTTTTGCACAAATGCTTTTCAAATCCCAGTGCAAAAAAAATGGAGCTGGAGGGGCTGTGGGTCTCTGCTGGGGGCAGGACTCACCCTCCACTTTGCCTGGCTTTGGGACAGGGCAACAATGGAAGCAGTACTACCAAGCCATATCAAATGCTTGGCCATCTGTCCCAAGCTGATGACCCTTGTCACTGTTGCCTGTCTCTGCTGGGAGCATGGGGACACCAAGCTACAGTAATGGTCCCAGTGCTACCAAGCTCCCACTGGGGACTGTCCCAAGGAAGAATACCTCTCAGGTAAGTGGTGGAGTCACCATCCCTGGAGGCATTCAAGAACAATAAAGAAGTGGCACTGAGGGACACAGTGGGGAACAGGCTGATGGTTGGACTAGATGACCTTAGTGATCTTTCCAACCTTAATGATTTGATGATTCCTGGGGACAGAATCCCTAGCCAGTGGGATGCCCCAACCCCACAGGCAACAGGGGCAGGAGAATGTGGACAGAAGGCACTCAAATGCTGTTGGGCGAGATATGAGCTCCCTAGCCAAGCACTATGGTGAGCATAGAATTACAGAGTCATTCGGGTTGGAAAAAAACCACTGAGATCACCAGATCCAACCACAGACCATCTTGCTCAACTCAGTACACCCATGGGCAATATATAGGTTTAAAGCTTGAGCTCCACATCTCCACACAATGCAGTGTGTGGCCACGGATGGCCTTGCCCCCAGAGATGGGCTCACAGCTGAGCTCCGTTCAGGTCCTGCCCCAGCCAGCTGGGACCTTGGACAACAGTCAGAGTGCTTGTGCCCCTTGGGTCCCCACGGCACCCCAAGTATCCCAGGGGTGGGCTCTGCACAGCCACCAGTGCGGCTTTGTGTTGCCCATCACGGGGGCCTCTGTCAGGGCAAGCGTTGCCTTCCCTGCGACCAGCGTTGACGTTATTCGGCTGGACAGAGGGATGTCTATGTGAATCATTTTCAATGCTATTCCATATTCATAACGGGCTAAATATAGGGGAGCAAAGTGGGACCTGGCGGGCAAAAAGCCCTCCCCGTGGTCAGCGCGGATGACTTCTCTGCCAAGACGAGATGCCAGAGCCAGCCCCGCCGTCCCCATGGGCACCGTGAGGCAAAGTCCCATTGCTGGCAGCACTGAGATGCGGAGCAGGTTTGGGGCCCCACTCCTGAGGCCACCTCCCAAGCATGTCTCAGCTGGCCTACTCATTGCAATGGGCAGGAACCCACAGCATGGCCCAGGAGGGGTCCACCAGCCCCTGGGCATGTTCTTCATTAAGCGAGAAGGTTAATGATTGCAATTATGTAAAAGGCAAGCAGCTAAATGAGTATAAATAAAGCTTTTTCTCGGGTGCGGTGCGGGGGCTGGCAAGGGGCTCCCAAGGGAAATGGTCTCTTGGGGGTGCAGCTGAAGCTGTTCCTGGCGTGAGCCACACTGAGAAAAAAAAACACAGCAAAAAGTCAAAGGCAGCCCCGTGTTATGAGAAAAGGCTCCGTGCTCACAGCTCAGAACTGGTGCTTGCTATCCTTAGAAAAAGCCATAACAATATGCAATAATGTCCAACCCAGCAAATAGTATTTGCAGTATTATGGGTAACTTGTAAATAAGATGTTGTATGCAGTAAATGACGGTTGGACTTGTGATATTAGAGGTCCTTTCCAACCGTAATGATTCTATTACTCTAAATCTGTCTGTGTCTATACAACAAAAATGGGGGGGGGGGGGTTCTACTCATGGGCTTGGATTATTTTGGCAACTGGTGTAAGAACAGGTAAGTGTGGCTGTTCCAGCACAAATCCATCAGCCCTCACACTGGGCCCAGTGTATGCATAGCATGAGTTTGGCGACAAAGACCCAGCACATAGTGCTCTCTTGTGCAAAAATAGAGAAATCCAGGCACAAACGCCTAAATTTGTGCAGCCAAACAGGGGAAGGATGGAGAACAGTGTTGGTGGGACAATATTTGAGAACATAGCACTAGCAGACAGCTTCAGTGCAGGGTCTGCTGGTGTCCTTGGACCAGCCCTAGCTGATTGCCCCATGGAAGGCATTGCCCTCCAGCATGGTTTCCCCTTGGGAGAAGCTCAGCAATATTATTCCCTTGGGGGAAAAATAAAAAAAATAAAAAAAATAATAAAAAAAAAGATGTTCTGTGACTCATGGAAAAGGTAAAATAAATTGCAGCCCCCACACTTGAATAGATACGTGGCTATTTTAATAGATGAGGTAATAAATAAACCTGCTCGAGATTTTTCAAGTTTTCATTCATTTTTGATAGAGAAAAATTATTTCCTTTCCTTCATCAAAAAAGAAAACTCAACATTCCCAGTGGGAGCAGTCAGATCCCCAGCTTCACCCCAGTACCCAAACCAGTTTTCCAGCCCCACTGCCTGCAGCCACCACTCAAAACCATTCCGAAACCAGGATGGGAGCCTCTGAAATGCCTTTCAGTTCACCTTTAGGATACATTTAGTAACTCACCTTAATATTGATGCCCTCCTTACACATTGCTGCAGAAGGAATTGAGGCTGTGGCCAGCGTAATGATGTGTTCAATATTAACAGTCTCCCATCTGTCAAAGCTCCCTGGCATCCCACCGGGCAGAGAGAGCTCCACTGCCCTCCAACACCACCCACTCCATGGAGAATGGCTGGGGAAATCAACAGCTCCTTTTGGAGAGTATCTGAGCGTTGTTTCAAGGCTCAGCCCTGCAGGGGAATGGAACATAGAAAGGTGTCATAAGCAGGCGGCCATGAGTACGTGCCACAAAAAAAGCTCATTTCACTCAACCCATTGCCCTCCTCCTGCCCGGTTCACCAAGGTGGCTGCTGGCATTGGTCAGACCTTACAGGACTGATACTTGGTGACCAGAAGACCTGTGTGAAGAGGATAACATGGCAGGAGCCCCTCCAGGCTCCATCTTAGTCCATTTGGGGACACAGTTACTGATCCCATACAAATCCTGGTCACCACAGTGGCCCCAACTCTACCTCTGCCCCAACGGCCAACCCCTCATAGCTGTGTCAATGCCTTGGTCCCCATCACCAGCCAGGATGGTGCCACAAGGTATCCCCAGCACCATGTGGAATCTGACCCACAGCTGCAGGCCCTGGGCAGGCGTGGGGCAGAAACTGCATCCCCTGCCATGGCTGCCTGCATGGGGAAGGTGAAGTGAGATAAGAGCAGCTTTTTTTCTTCTTTACACTTTGTGCTACGTGGGCCTTTTCCTCTGGGTAAGCACAAAGTCTGCCTCTTTCCTCGCTATTATTAAAAGTCAGGGCTCCAATACCTTTGGGAGCAGGGAAGGCAGATAATCCCTTCTCCTCCTGACCTTATTTCTCTCCTCACTTTGCAAGGTTATTGCAACTCCCCACCAGTGGCTGCCCTGTACAATACACTCCTTCCTCTCAAAAAAATAAAAAAATTAAAAAAAAAAAAACCACATTATTTCCAGCAAACACACCCTTAAACCACTGAACTCCCACCCAATTCCTCTTTTGTGAGAACAAGCAGCTGAAAGCAGTTTACTCTTCCCCCAGCACTGCAGACATCCGTCCTCGGGGATGAAGAGCTGTGTGAGCAGCAGAAGGGGTTTTGTTCTCTGCTTACAAAATACCCCAAAATACAGGGTTTACATTCAGCTCAGGGGAGGACGGACCACAAAGAGGGGGCTTCCATGGCAGGCTGAGTGCTGGTACCGACACTGCTTTGGGGCTGGGATGTGGCACTGTTGTGTGTGGCTCCAGCAGCCTCTAGTGGAAAGTAGACAGAAGCGGCTGCGCATAAAGGAAGGGCTTTGCTTATTTACTCCGTAACACTTCCCATCCACCTGCTTCGAAGCCTCAACACAAGATTGGGCCACGAGATGTGCTTAAGCCCAACGCTCTCATTGCAAACACAGATGCATGCAGCTAAGACATGGGATCACAGCATCATCAAGGCTGGAAAGACCTCTAAGATCACGTAGTTCAACCACCAAGCCACACCTGTGACCACTCAGACCACATCATTCAGCGCAGCATCTGCTTTTCCTTTGAGCACTTCCAAGCAGAGTGGCTGCACCACATCCCTGGGTAAGGAGCTCTAAGTCCCATCTAGCTTGGGAAAGCCTTTCAAGTTCACCACATCCAGCCATCAGCCCAACCTACAGAGTCCCCCATCACCAACCCATGGCCCTTAGTACCACGGCCACACCTCCAAGGATGGGCAGGCCATTCCAGTGGCTGGCTGCCCTCTAAGTATATCTGTCCCAGTTTTGGGTCCTCTTCCTCCTCCAGGAGGACCAGGAACTACTCATCCCCTAAAGCTCCTTCATGCTGTGCTGGCTCATGTGGATGAGCCTCTTTCAGTGACCTGTGATGGCTGGATGGATGGAGCTACTCATCCCACCCAAAGCAGAGACTCTATTCCACACCTTTCCTGTTTGAAACCCAAACCAGTACAACTCAAATCCCCGTGAAACGTGCTGCAAAAATGGTTAACGAGCTCAAAGTGTCAGGGACAAGTGGGGCTGATGGGAAGGATTAGACATTAATGAGAGCCATCTCCAGAAGCATCCATCACTGAGCTTTAGTGAGTTTCTTAATGCGGTGGGAACTCTGCCATGGCTGGATTTCTTTTATTTAAAGCAAAGATAAAAAGCTGGAGAGGTATTAATATTAATTAAGAGACAGACATTTGCAGAAACTTTCCTTACCCCATGTCACACCCAACTCCCAACCCCACTTCAGCAAACAACCAGATTTACTCCAGAAAGGACCAAACCGCTCTGCAGCATTGATGAGCCTTTGTCATTCTGCAGGGACTTTTCTCCCAAAGTGTAGAGCAGAAGAGATGAACCTCCATAGAATATCTGAAAGAGGAAAAAATCCCACCTGCCATTGCTATTTTTGTGTTGTTTTGGTATCATTCCATAAGGGTTCCCATTGCAACATGGTGCTGGGCTCTGTGCCACCCCTCCAGGTCCTGCCACCAGGGTGAGGTGTCCCATGCATTTCTGTAGAATCGATCTTGCTCTGAGGCTGCACAACCATTTTGGATGGGGAAAATTGTAGGGACATACATCATCTCCCCTCTCTCCTTGGATTGGGACATGATCATCTTCTCTATCCTATGGTTTCAAGACCACAAACCGTGAACAGACATTTTGTCTAATGGAAAGCTCCAGTTGGAAATAGCTCCCAGTTTTAAACTGGGGTGTTTTCTTAGAGCTACAGCCCTCTGCAGCACCTTCAGCTGCAGAAACATCTGGGCTTTTCTTAACAGCAACAGACAGTGCAGTAGAGGGAAAGGATCATACGTGGGAGGCTGAAACCAGAGGTGCCACATTCAGAGCAATCCGTGCAAAACCCATCGCAGGGAAGAATCAGGCTGGAAAGTGGATGGCATTGGGATCTCCCTCCTTTGACTGTTGGGTTAGGCAAAGTTTGCCACCGGGCAGCCCGACCCCTGCGCCCCTATCCCTGCCGTTCGGGGCTCCGCCAGCAGAGGGAGAGCCCGGCCCGCAGAGAGGAAGGACTCGGGCTCATCGCAGCGACGAGCTGAGACAGAGCAGAGATCATAGGATTCGGTGGAATGGATCTTAAAGATCACCTACCGAGCTCCAACCCCTGCCGTGGCTGGGCTACCAACGACTAGATGCAACCACTCAGCTGCACGGGGCCCTGCTGCAGTCATCCAACACTCTGCAGGGATGATGCAGCCAGAGGAACAGAGCCGTGTTGCGGATACCCACACGGGGACAGACCCTGGGTCTCTGCACCCACCCCACTCAGGTCATTAATTAGGGATGAGGCAGCTTTGCTCCCATGTCCCTTTCCAATCCTTGCATTGGGGTGGAGAAGGGCGAGCTGTCTTGAGCTGCACAGTGCCAGGTTAGTGCCAGCATTGTTTCTTCCTTTGGCTCCAAGTTAGCATAGTAATGGTGGAAGGGACAAAACCCGGCACACGAGCAGCACAGTGCCTGCACTGCTATGGGCAGCACTGCATAGAATTGTTTGAGTTGGAAGGGACTCTTAAAGGCCAGCTGGTCCAACTCCCCTGCAATGAACAGGGACACCTACAGCTCAGAGCCCCAGCCAGCCTGACCTTGAATGCTTGCACAGGCCAGGCATCCACCACCTCTCCTGGCAACCTGCTCACAGGGAACCGACACCCAATGCCCCAGGGTAACCACGGCACAGTGGTTGTGCTTTATCCCTCCAAACGTGTCCCTGGTGCCCTGCAGCAGCAATCCTGCACTGCAGGCTGTGAGCACTGACCAGACTCTTCATCCTTAAGAGACCCCATTCTTTCCCAAGCAGACCCCCCCCAGCTCAGCACCATCTCCCGTGTTCAGAGTAAGCCCTGCCTGCAGAATGAGCAGGCATGAGCTCTCCAGTTTGAGCCCTCCTGCCTCTCTCCAGCTCCTGTCTATTATCACCAAACTTGTAGGAACTTAATTATCTCTGAGACCTCTCCCACCACCAAACCCAGCCAGGAGCACTCACAAGATAACGAAGGCAATGGACAGGGCAGCACGCATGAGCACTGTCTCCTCTACCAGCAAGGTCAGAGCCATCACACCCCCGTGCCAAAAGCAAGGGTAGGGAGAACCTTTCCATCCCACAGCCACAAGTGGGAATAGGGGCGAGGACGAGGGATGCTGGTGCCGGCCGTCAAGCAGCGGGCCGGTAATAACCTCATTATGAGGCTGGAGATGCCGGGAGGGGTGGCGGGGCGGGGGATGTGGGGGGGCAGATGCCGTCCTTCTGCCGACCGCAGCTTGCGGAGCCAGAGAGTTGTCAGCGCGTCTCCTGCCTCTCACCTTGCTTCTCATTAGCTCCCCGCAGCGCTGCCGTGCGGGCAGATGGGGCAGGGCCGTGGCCACAAGCCGCTGCCGGGCTGGGGGCTCACACACCAACCCCCCTCTCTATTTCTGGGCTCCATCTCAGGGTGGAGATGCCCATCCCAGCTGCTTGTCCAAGGCAGATTTCTTTGCTGAGTGATCTACAGGCAGGAAAGCTTCCCTTGCACAGAACAGCCAGGTGACCCCCCCCCCCCCAAGATAAGGATGACATCCTACCATTGCCCTCCCAAAATGGGGTCACTAGTTATCTCGGGGACCGAGGGTGCTTTGGGGCAGCCCCAGCCCTACCGCATGCAGGATGATTTATTGCAAGAGCAAGGCAGAGGCATGCTTTGATGGTAACTGCCCCAGGGATGCCTCAGAGGGATCAATGGACCATAGCCAGGAGGCACCAGCAAGGAGCAAGGCAGAGGAATGAAGGGCTGCATGGTCAGCAGGTCCAGAAGACCATGTCCTTGTCACTACCCCAGTGCCCTGCACACCTCTCATCTTCCCAAGAGGAGACACCTCACTCCATAAGAAGAAAAAGCACAAACCCCCATATTTACCCATAATGAACACTTCCAGGCTGGCTGGATGTTCCCAGCCAGAAATGTCCTGTCCAATAGTATGGTATAAGCACCTACTGACTGAGAAGGCTCCCACGTTTACGACTTACTGATAGCCCTGCAGACCAACATCAGCAGGGGGTTCTGCTCCTGTGGGCTCCCCACACAGTGGCTTTGGGTCATGCCCTCATCATTCCCTTGGGCTTCCAACTCCATGGCCTTGGGTCACATCCTCCTGCTCAGACCATCCAGCCCTCTTGCTCTCAGCTCCCCAGCACCACCTGGATTAGGTACACCAAAACACCAAGTCAAGATGCTGGAGAAAGGATGGGATTATCCCTCTGAGCCCCAAACCCTACTGGCATCCCACCTCTCCTCCTGAGCTCATCTTTTCCATCCATGCTCCTCAACAGAAAGCTCCAGCTCATTTCCTACTCATAACAATTTCTTCCCCTGCACCAAGATCTCCTAAAGGAAACAGCACACCAAACCCAGAGCATATGTGGCAGTTTTTCCTCCTTTTGTCAGCACAGGCTGCAATTCAGGGGAAGGAGATTTGAAGGCATGTGGTACCTGTGCTCAGCAGAGGGGGTGCGGCCGTGTGTGCAGGCGTACAGAGCTATTAATTAAAATTGCTCAGTCAGATGCTATAGAGAGATTAGTTGTCACATTGTGTTAATGGCAAGCTTGGCAATGCTGTGAGAAGGGGCAGGACTGCCCGCCGTCCCCTCAGCTGTTCAAGTGCCACGTTTATACCCAGCCAGAATGACTAATTGGCAGGTTTTGTCTAACAGAAGCCCCCTCGTTATTGGGAAGGCATCGGCGCCTTAATGAAGGAGAGGCAGGGAAAGGACACGTGGCACCAACCACCGAGGTCCCGTGGGTGGGGACAGCTGCAGCCCCATCCTTGTGGCAAAGGCTCATAGTGAGCTGGAAAAACCCAGAGCCACAGGGTTGCCCAGCACCAGGTGCAGAAGGTGGAAACTTGGATGGAGCCATAAAGCTATTTAGGTGTGCAGCACCCACCAGTCTCTACAAAATGCAAGCATCTTGAGACTGTGTTATGGTTTGAGAAGTTGAGTTTTAGAGAAGAGAAAAGTAGAGAAACCAAGGCACAGAGCAGCTGTGGCATTACCTAGGCTGCATCCAGGTGTTTGCATGAGGCTTTCAGTTTGGTGCACAGCAGCCTTCTTATCCTAACTAACACAGACCTCACATACCTGTTTCACCGCTGAATAGGTGGCTTCCTTCACCCCAGCTTTGACTCCATTTTGTAGATTCAGGCTTATGCTAGAAGACAGCAGGGAGCATGTGGAAATGATGCCAAGGAACAGCAGCCTTTGACTTGATCAAAATGGTGATGTTTAGGCATCTTACATACGCAATAAAGCTGAAATTCCTGCATTGCTTTAGAGAAGCTCTTCAGCACGACATCATTTTGAACTTATAACCATAGACAGGTGGAGTCACTTCACCCCAAATCAGCTCTGAGCTGCTACAGCTGTTATGGCTGCCCAGCTAGGTCCTCATGCCATTAGCTCATTATCTCCACCCTGCACTCATCAGGAGCTCCAGCTGTTTCTCAGCCAGGGCTGAGATATCCACACCTCCAGCCTCCAAACTAGCTGTCTGTGTAGAGATGAGAAACTCAAAGAGATTGCTAGTAATGCTGTTTGTTCCCTGCAGCCAGATTTGGATAGGGTAGCTTGGTAGCTGGAGACATGCAAATGCCCAAAACACCACTGTCATTCACACCTTTAGAGAACTTGGCCCAAGTGGCTTCTAGGAGGTCATTGAATCACAGAACTATAGAATCATTAAAAGTGAGAAAGATCTCTAAGATAACTGAGTCTAACCCCAACCCATCCTCACCATGCCCACCAACCACATTCCTCAGTGCTCCATCCCCACGGTCCTTGAACAGCTCCAGGGACAGTAACCCCACCACCTCCTTTGGCAGCCTGTGCCAGTGCATCACCACAGTTTCTGAGAAGTTTTTTTCTGACATTCAACCTGAATCTCCCCTGGAAAGTCATGCAAGACATCTCCTTTAGCTCTGTTGTCTATTTGCAGGTTAGCAGTCATCTTGGTGTGTTATTTCCAAGCACAGATCTAAGATGGTTCACGAGAAAGATCCAAACCTCCTCCGTGCACTTTCCTCTCCTCTGTTAGCCTGCTGATTTCCTACTCTTGTACCTCCCTTGTTCTTTCTTTATCATTTTAATGTCATATTGTCCTGAATTTTCCCAAGCAAGGAAAGAAGTGCATTTGGAGCACACACACACACACACACGAATAAATTAAATTAAAAAAAATCCACCCAAACCAGTGCTGAACCCAGCTTTTTCTTCTGTTCTTTACTCCCCACCACTCAGTCATGCACTGTCATGTCTTGTCCAGCAGAAACCTGTCACAGAAGACACTTTGTTTGTGCATTTGAGAGCAACTTCCAATCACTGAACGTAATAGGGCAAGATGAGTGATAGATTGACACAATTAATTTCCATGTTCCCAGTGGTAACATTGATTTTAGGGCACTCAGTCTTTACAAGTCACTGAATGCAAGGGAAAACTTGGCTCTGATCTTTCTTGTAGAGGTCAAAAGGTGCTCAGATCTTAGGAGAGCTCAACTGTTGAAATACCCTTCAGTGCCTTGACTTCTACCCCACTCGTGCATATCTAGGCCTCTCAGTCTCCATTTGCTCAAGAAGAACCTACTGAGAAGGATATGTATACACATCCCTGGTCCTACATGAACACTCAAAGCTTTCTTGGGCCTGTCTACAGAGCATGCAACAGTTGAGTTTCACTGGATGTTGATCTTCTAGCTGTAGAACCGCTTCCCTTCCACCACTCTCTAACCAGAAACTGACAATGACTAGCCCTCTGATTTATCACAGTGGTAGCAAACGTACTTACTCTCACTAGCAGGATGCTTGCCCCACCTGGCCCAACAGATCTGGAAGGGCATAGGAGTGCAACAGACAGACATGAGTGATCCATTAGTGGGTATCCAGGAGACAAGTCCCATCTGGACTTGACACCACAGGGAGATGCTCAGAGACAGACTCAGAAGGAGCCTGTTTGTGGTTTCATGATTTACATTGGGTATCCAAGCTTCAAATCAACTGAGAACAAATAAATAATGGTCCACAGATCCTCAGTCCCCGCCCCCCAACACACACAGTCATTGTGGCCTTTACTTATCCAGCCCTTCCTTCCATAAATTCTTATAGAATAGAATCGATCCCAAATGTGTAAACATTTTCCCATGTCCCTCTTTGGTATCTCTGAGAACCACTGTCCCCCTAGCCATTGAACACATGCTGAATTTGCTGTCAGTTTAACGTATCTCATTTTCTGCACAAACTCATCATGTATCTCATGGTGGAACCACTTCTCTAATAGAGAGCTTCTTCATAGTGTGAAAGTGCATGCAGTAGGGCTTTGCAGTACGGACGTGCATGCAGAGATCCTCCTTCCTACCTCGTAAAGCAATGACCCCAAGAGAGGAGTCCAGCAAGCTTTGGACACAAAGCATTGAACCTGGCAGCAAACAGAGAAGACAATTTCTCTCACATCTCAGTTGCCTTCTTGAAGTGAAAACCACAGCTCCCAACACAATGCTGGGCTCATCGGCCTGCTCACCACCCTGCGAGGCCCTCAAGGATGCTCCTTATGCCTGACCTGTCCCTGTGCTGCCCACTCCTGCCCCCATCCCTTTCTCCCCACCACTCCTCCATGCCCTGCTGCAAACAATGCCTGCCCTAAGAAACCACCCTGTGAGCAGGCAGCCCTGCTATGCGCGGCATCCCCGCTCGCCAGCCAACCTGGGAGATTCACCTGTGCAGCCCAGACAGTGAAGAATTGTTTGGAGCAAAACACTGTGCAATCAAGTGGAGATAGCAGAGGCAATGGGGTCAGGCAGGCTGCCTGGGGCATCTTTCATCTCCCACGTCGGGAGGTGGGGTGTAAAGTGTGCACTGGCCGGGGCCAGGGCAGGCTGAAAGGCAGCCTTGTTCTGCCAGCTATCTGCCATCTCTCTGATGTCACACGTCGCGTTTGGGCAGCTCACTTCAAAGGCCCCTTTCTGGTGCTCCTTCCCTCCCCTCGCCCCTTTCTCTTCTGGGTTTGGAGTTGGCTGTTTGGGGGGATAATAGCCTGGCTTTCCAAAAAGCATTTGGCTGTGCAATTAAAAAAAAAAGACACTTGGAGAGCAGCCGCCCAGGTTAACCCAGATTGAGGTAGAGACAAGCAACGGGAAACCAAGGGCTCCCATTCTCTATTCATGCTCAAGCACTCTATGTGTAGCAGCAGATTCAGACCCATTACCCCTGAATTCTACAAGGGCATCCAGGCCCACAGCAAAAGGGTGACAGCATCCCTCTCTGCAGCTCTCACTGGGTTCCTGGAGGCATGTCCTGCAGGCAGGAGGCCAAAATAGCAGCACTGCGTTGGCCATGCCAGACAAGACATCTTGCTGGGCTGCAGCCTCTTGTTGAATGATGGTATCTCTGCCAAGCTACACAAATTTGTCCAGTGCTGCACAACAGAAGGATGGCATTTCAAAAGGCTAATAAAACTCTGGATTTAAGTTACCTGCTGGGAGGACGTGTGTCCCATTAGGAAAAACCTTGAGAAACCCAAAGGAAACACATTCAGATGCACTCTGGGACAAAGATTCCGGCCAAAAGCTGCTTCCAGTTTTTTGTCCTAATCATGTAAAAATTCATGAGCCTTCAACTAAGTATTGGGTGACTTCTGCCCTCTGATTTTGAGACGTTTGGCAAAGGGAGTTTCAAAGTTTTTTCCACAGCTGGGTCAACTGGAAACTATCCAGTGTAGTAAATATCTTCCTGCTCATTGCCACACTTCCAAGAGATGGGGATTTAGAAGGCAAAAAAATCTGTGAGGGGAGAAGGGAATGTGATTTGAAGGAGGGATGAGGCCCAGCTTAAGCTGCAGCACCATGGAGGTAGTGACATCAGCCCCACCATTGCTGGGGGATAGAGAAAGTCACCAAGATTTCCTCCTCACTCATAGAACCACAGAATCATTAAGGTTGGAAAAGATCTTTCAGATCACCAGGTCCAACCCCAACACATCCCCACCATTGGCCACATCCCACAGTGCCACATCTCCACGGTTCTGTAACACCTCCAGGGACAGTGATTCCGTTACTACCCTGGGCAGCTCATACCAGTGTATGACCACTCTTTCTGAGAATATTTTCCTATTATCCAGCTTGAACCTCCCTCAGCTGATATTGTTTCAATTATGATGGCAGTAGAATCATAGAATCATAGAATCACCAAGGTTGGAAAAGACCTAAAAGATCACCCAGTCCAACCGTTCACCTATTCCCAGTAGCTCCCACTAAACCATGTCCCTCAACACAACATCCAGTCACATACAGCCAGAACACCCCCAGGCTCGGTGATTCCACCACCTCCCTGGGCAGTCCATTCCAGTGCCTGACCACCCTTTCTGAAAAGTAATACTTCCTCATGTCCAGCCTGAATCTCCCCTGCCTTAGCTTGAAACCATTCCCCCTGGTCCTATCACTAATGACAAGAGAGAAGAGGCCGACCCCCAGCTCACTACAACCTCCCTTCAGGAAGTTATAGAGAGCAATAAGGTCTCCCCTGAGCCTCCTCTTCTCCAGGCTGAACATTCCCAGCTCCTTCAGCCTCTCCTCATATGGCCTGTGTTCCAGACCCCTCACCAGCTTTGTTGCCCTTCTTTGAACACGTTCCAGGGCCTCAATATCTTTCTTGCAGTGAGAGGCCCAAAACTGGACACAGTACTCGAGGTGCGGCCTCACGAGTGCTGAATATAGGGGAACAAATTGTAGTAGTAGGGGAAGGCGCACAAACATTTATGCACATACATGAACAACACCAGAACCTCCAGAGGTTACTTCTTCATGTTGGCAGTGGTGGAGGTAACCGTTCATAGCAGCCATGTATGCCTTTTGTCCCAAACCATCCACAGGAGGATTTAAGGGACTCGCAGAACTTACTGGCAGGTATTAAAAGTTCACTGGGGCTGTAATAGCGATCTGTCAGCCTGCTGCTAATCCTTCTTGACAGAAACTTTATAAGAAGCTGAAGTGTGTTAAATAGTCCTGGAGTTTGAGCAGAGCAAGTTTGAGGAGGGCAGCTTAAAGCCAGATCTGCTTTCCTTATACCCCAGATCAAGAGCCCAAGGGCTAGGTTGGGGCTTGACCCCCCTTTAAGGCTCTCCTTGCCTGGAGGAGAAAGAGAAGACCCTCCAGAAGGCACTGAACAGTACTGGAGCATCCACAGGCAGCTGGCACGCACCGGGCGATGCTCCCAGCCGCACAATAGCGGCTCTGTGTGCTCGCGGGACCATCCGATGCACCTGCGCTCACCTTGGAGTCAGGAATGCAAGTAATTCACATCTGCAA